TTGTTATGCTTCCATAACAAAAAGCATGCGGAGAAAGATGGACGAAAAGGATTATGACTTATGGTCAAATTTACTGTTATAAAATAAATCACGATGTAAAAATAGGTGTGTAATCAAGAGTTTGACCTTTTTTTTTTTTTTTTTTTTTTTTTTTTTTTTTTTTTTACAATTACCGTTCAAATAAGAACTTTTAAAAATAGAAAGAGTACGTTCATGTTTAAATTTCAATTTTACATACGCACAAATTTATACATGCCTGGACTCTACACATAGCTAATTCATTCTATCTATAGTCACAAGGGCCAAAATTATGAGAGAGTGAGGAATTACTCAGGTGGTTAGAGTTTCCCTTCCGATTTCAAGTGAATAGTAATTGATTTTCATCATCACCCGCCCTTGTGACTCTCTAAACACACACAAAAAAAAAAAAAAAAAAAAACCAAAGTTATAGGTTGAAGTTATAACTAGTGATAATTATACATCAACTAGCTAGCTTAGGACCGTTCCATAATTACTAATTAGTAAAGTGTTGGGGGATGATATTCAATATTTGAGATCCAATCAATCTACAATTTTACATACACGACTTTTCCTTATACCTATTTATGAACTAAAATTAAAAATCCGTAGGGATTTGGGAGCCCACAATAGATTTTTGATAAGAATAATCCTCTTTAAAGCACACCTAAAAATGCATACTTAAATCACTATGTAGCTCTAATCATAGCCTATTTTATAGTTGATTAGTCTTTGTTGACTTGAATTTAGATAATACCAAAGAAATGTAAATGTGTTTTAATAAAGGATTAACTGTTTTAATCACGCTTAATGTCCTTTAATAGATCTTCTACATGATTATTGGACCTACACGATCATAATACATGATTGATTGAGTAAATTGGATCGGGAAATTAAGGAAACTAAAAGCAACTTTAATCAACTTTAGGGCATTTTTTAGTAGTAATTTTACAACTTTTAATCTACACTTTGAACTGTAAATTTACTGTTTTTTCTTTTAAATATAATATTAGAGAGGAGTGAATGTAAATAGGAGCTTGGGCTATTTTCAACTAAGAAAAGCAATCAATTGAGAAAGTGATTGGTTATAATGGAAAAGGACCTCTAATTCTAAGAATCCACTATTAGGGAATCTAGATATAAGAATTAGGAATTAGGATCTCAAGTGTAATTAACGTATTAAGATATATAGTGTTTTGTAAACGAGCTAAGGACTATCTTGTTCATTATGCTAGTTAAACTCGAGACCGGGCTTGCGTTGGTCAATACATGGACATTGCTCGAGCTCAAATTACTGCTCAAGCTTGGTTTGTTAGACAATGTATGTAAAATTAGGGTTTGGGTTGAGGTCAAGATTTGTTCACAAACATTCTTTGTGTTTTCAATTAAAATGAGATTAAAGGAAATGATTGAACCAACTAAGCAAACTTTTAAAATGCAAAAAAAAATGAAGTTTTATTTTTTTTATTTTTTTTGCTCACACATATATATATATATATATATATATATATATATATATATATATATATATATATATATATATATACAAACAAACGAGCTAAGTTATTCATGGAAATAAATATTGAATGATCGAGTTTTTCATGAACATACTTTTATGAACAATTATTCTTGTGTTAATATTCATGCTAGTTCAAGCTTACTTATCTATAAAAGAAGTTACGAAATACGAAGTATATTCTAAATCGATTAATTAACTTAGTACATAAAGTATAAATGAATCAATATGAGCTTTGATTGAGCTCGATTTTGATTTCTTTAATGAAAGTTTTAACTTAGCTCTTTTACACCTCTAAGCATGTTAAGTAGCGCAGCTAACAATTTTTTGACAAATGTAAGTAAAATTTTAAATATATGTAGAAGTATAAGAAAAAGAAATACTTAATATTTCTATTTTTATCTCACCAACATATATATATATATATATATATATATATATATATATATATATATATTTAATTAGATAGTAAAGAAGAAAAGGAAACCTATTTTAGTATTAAACGTATTAATTATAGAAAGATAATCAAGACAACTTTGTCAGACAGTTATCGGTTAAAATTAACTGATGGAATTGATTATTCCTACATATCACAAGCAGTTTGTTGCAGTAAATATTATTCTCTCATAGAAAATCGATAATAATGATACTCTATGTTATAAGAAGTATTGTAACAATACAAACATATCTTAATTATAATATAAAAATCATACAGTAATTAAGTATTTATTGAATATATTGATTGTAGGAAACATAAGTATCTTCTTATACGATTGTTAATGGCGAACTGCCCAACAAGAAAATCTCAAAATAAGGGTTTTGGTACAACAACTAATATGCTTGACAGTATTGAAATAAGGAACATTGTTCTCTTCTGAAACCGAAGAGGTAAAAATTGTTGATTAACGTACTATTTAAGGGGCCAAAATGACAAAATGAGGGCCATTCTTGAAGTTTACGAAGTTTTTAAGTTAATTGTGTAACATTAAATGCATAAAATATGTCACCATTATGATATATGCAACCTTAAAAACTAACTGTATATATGCATGAAACATATATTTTATAATATGGTATTATGTGAACTTTAGTAATGCATGATAAAATTACAAGTGGGTTGATCTTATTTAATGTATTATTTATGCTTAATATATCTCTTTTACAATATTATTAAGAGTTGCGCACAAAATTGTTTAAAATCAAACAATAATGTTAAATAAAAGATTTTTTTTTTAATTATTTTGATTCTCTTAAGGTATATCAATTCAAAACGTACTAATGTTCTTATTTACCAAATAAGCATTGCATGCATATATATGGATTAGGGGGCTACTACCAACATTATGACAACTAAGGATACGACATATATTAAATAACTTCGTACAATTTAATTTAGATTATACTCTATTTATTTTAATTTTAGTTATTTGAATATATTTGATCTTATGAGAACTTATATGAACTTATTTTAGTTGTAAATTGAATTTAATTAACCCTTATTAACCTTTATCTAAACCTATTTTAATTTTTTTTTTCTTAATGAATATTATTTAAACCTATCAAAACTGATCAACCCTTATCAGAAGTTATTTTTTTCAAAATTAAGTGTAAATAAAGTGAACAGATTAATGTGTTATAGTGGAACAATGACACTTATGATATTCATCAAACTTTTAATTACACTCTAGTCCATATTCATATATCCCTTTTTAAAAAAAAAAAAAAAAGATATTCAATTCACAAAAGTTTGCCCTTTTTTTCTTGGTTTAATTTGTATCTAGCTAGATAAATATTAACAAATTTTCATTTTGGTTATGATTCTAATAATCTCCTTTAATTTTACTAAATCTTTAATTCAAACCCTTATTGCAAAGACAAACTATCAACCCACTTCCATAAAACACTTGAAAAAGTAAATTTAGTGAAATGAGAGAATTTTAGCAACAAGAGAGCGTACCATAAAACCCCAACCTTTGACCGCATGCACTCTCCTTAGATTTCCCCAAACGAATTAAAATATAAACACATCATTTTTTCAAAAAAATAAAAAAAAAAAAAAAAAAATATAAACACATCACATATTCACATATACCGTATACGAGTATATTCTACTTTTTTTTTTTTTTTTTCATAACAAAATTGACACTCGTCCCCACAAGAATCAAATTATATATTTGCAATAGCAAAAGGATAATGAGATGTATATTAAATTAAAATTGATGTATATTAAATTAAAATTAACCACCTTAATTAATTGATTTTAAATCTATGTTTAATTAGTTGGTTACAACCAATTAAAAAAATAATTAAAATAATGGGAAACATATTGTCGTTCGGCCCCAAATAATTTTGATGTACCTTATCATCAAACACATAGTGAAGGAGCATTTGCTACATAACACCAAAAATAAATTAGTGTAGGAGCATACCACAATTTTGTATAACTCTTTGTTACCTTATTTGATATAGTGGCCGACCCAATATGTTGGTGGGTGATACCTACACTTAAATTAAATAAACTTTCTTCCTTCTTAGAAAATGACAAATACCCAATAATACATATACACTATAAACTATAGCTTAATTGTATATGTAATCCTCTTATAAATATTCATTATAATCACTACTTCTTTTTCAACGCTTTTGGTGATTTAGGATAGGAAGGATTGTGTAGTTAGTATTTCGGTTATGGTGACCCATAACATGAACCTAGTTGTTACTAGCTAGTTTATTCACCAAATTTAAGCATCTATTTTTTTTTATTTTAGGATGAGCATTGAGGAGAGGAGCGTGGTATATATTTATAGTAACTCCTTTCATTATCCATTCTATTCCGTGGTCACCGACTAGTCGAAATAGTGTATTTCTCATGGAAGAACAATACTAGTTAGGGTGTGAATTATTCATAGACATAGAATTATGTTAATCTAGGATAAATCTTACTTGACTTGAGCTTACATTCACTGATCCCATAAGCATATTACATGTTACATACAATAATATACAAGATCACTATTTCCAGATAGTCAACTAGACGAAAAAAGTGTAATTCTCGTGGAATAAAACAAGTTAGAGAGCGAATTATTCATAAATAGATGTATTAATTTGATATAAGTATGGGTCATCAACCTGAACTTACATATACCACTTTCATAATTAAACATCCTATAATAATATATGTGATTGTTATTCAATTCCCAACTAGTGACATAACAAATTTACAATTGTATGTGGACTATAAAAATATAGCATGATAAAATGATAATAATTGTTGATCTAATAGTCTTCTCATCTAGTCATCATAGAAAAAGAAAGTATAAAGTGACCTTATTAAATGGGACCCAAGTGTTATTGTCTAGTTGTTATGAGGGAAATGCACGCCCTTTCATGCCCCATCCTTGAATCTTTTTAGTCAAGACCAAATAGTAACCTCCTTGGACCACACTTTCCTTCCTATAAAGTACCCTCCAAATCTTCATTTCCACATGTCTCATTTCTTGCATTTTCATTCACTAAACTCTTGCACAACATTTCTCCAAATTAATCACAAAATCCTCTCTTCTAATTATTATCGTTAATTATTCTAGTCAAAATCAAGAAAATTAAAGATGAAGTTGAGCAGTCCAAGTATGGGAGGAAGCAAGAGGAAGTTTGTTAATCGTGGATTAAGTGGCATGGTTAGAGAACAAAGAGCAAGGCTTTACATCATTAGAAGATGTGTTGTTATGCTCCTTTGTTGGCATGAATGAACTTAATTTCTTCTTTTTATTTATTTTTTTAAGGGAATGGGAAGATTAACCCAAAAAAAAAGGTCTTCCTTTTTTCTGTTTTTTGGGCAGATTTTATTTTATTGATTAATTCATAATGTAAATAGCTAGTAGGGTATTAGATTAATTAATTTAAGGTTAGAGTAATTGAGAGAGTTTTGACACAATTTTGCTCACTTTTTCAATTTTGCCATCATGTACATGGGCATAGCTTGAATGAAGATCATCATCACTTGTTATATAACCAATCTCATGAATATTTGGCTATATTGTTCACTTTGTTCAATTGGTGATTATTTTCTATTTATTTTTGTGCTATAATTCCTACTGATATATAAGCAGTCGGTAAAAATCAAGTACAATTATGTTATACTAGATACAATTGCAAATTTGGAAAATTGGTTGAGCCATCAAAGTTTAATCAATTGAAGTGGTTGTTGTGAGATTGAGTTTTGTGAATTTTTGTGCTAGATTTTCAACTCAGAATCAGTTGGATTTTGTGAAGTTTTTATGATCCATTAATTATGGGGGTAAATATGATGTCTAGTGAAGAATGCATAAACCAAGTATTATGCACCAATTTAAATACCTTACATTGTACAAATTTCGTATTGGTTCCATAAACTTGTTAGCTCTTGACTATCTTCAAATTCAGCTATGACGTCGAGCTTTGCTAGATTTCATGCTACAATGTTTTATGGTATCAATCGGAAGTGAATATTCAGTTCACTACTTGAGCATTATTCTAAACTTTGGATACCACCCAACACGACTTTTATTTATATGAACTACAAGGCAGTTATCTAAGCGAGTGAGCTTTCAATAACGGCTCTTTTCTATGGACTTGAACTATGAAAAAACTTTGGTTATTGGATTTGATGTAATAACAAATTAAAGGGTAGATTTTTTACATAGTTACCATTCTTACCAGGATGATGATTCATCTCAATTACTCTTGAAAATTCCAAGAAATGGCATCAAAATTTCACCATATTATGAAATTAAAGTTCTTCATTTTTAATCAATAAATTTAATTTACAATATAATGTTACATAACATATGGTCACAGATCACTTACCATGTAATCCATCACAAAAAGAAATTCAACCCAAGATTGAGAATATACTTCTGTGACAACAACTAGCTGTAACATACATGTGATTGACAAAGATGGAAAATAGTAATTAATTAAATTTATCATAAATTACTTGATTAGTATCATGCATTAACATAAAAATAACATCAAACTTGCTAATCATAATATTTCTCATGTTCTTCTATTAGCCTATGAGTTAAATTAGCTGAGAATTTGTAAGGAATTTCATTTGTATGTCAGAAGATTCAAATTGAACTGCAATGTCAGTTACCATAATATTTTAGTATGACATAATATAAGATTTAAAGTTTATTATATAGTTTATAACCCCAATTAAATGATAGAATTTAGGAGTATAGATGCCACAACTTGACTAATAATCTTGTGCTCCTCCCAATTCACAAGGAAGACCAAACTTCAATTAGTTCAAAATCCTATAAAATATTTGTACATTATTTCTTATCTAATATAGGCTGTCAATTTATTGATCGAGTTCATCAGGTTATTTCTTTGTTGCTTCAGTCATCTCCTTAATTCATGCTTAAGTAATCGTTTCGTCGTGCATATTTAACTAGGTAATACTCCTTATTTATAATAATCATTTAGTGCATTATTGAGCTAAAGAATTATTTTAACAAGACTAATTTCCCTAAACTCAATTTTGTTGTTCAAACTAAGTATACTCAATCTTAAGCACGTATGGTGATTTTAAGCCAATATGAACTTAATTAATCGTTTTCGTTACAAAATAAAATGCCCTCTATTTTTGCAATTAGTTGTCATATTGTCTCAATTATTATTAGAAAAGGATAACATGTCAACAACAAAAATAAAAAATCATTATACTAATTTTGTAATTTCTATTTTCCGCTCATTATTAATGAATTGACTTTGTTCAAAAATAAAATAAATTTAAACTTAAGCAATGCATAAGATTCTCTAAAAAAGTACATAAAAGGGAAGAAAAAAATATAGTCATTTTAAAAGTTATCTAGCCATGTTACGTAAATATTGTGTAGATTTATTAATTGCAGTACCGATTATATGAAAAATCTAATCAGAAATGTATGCAATATGACAACTTTTTCTAGATATCATGTACGTTGTATACGACGTGTACTTGTGAGTATGTGACTATGAAGTTCACACGAAGAAGAGAGTAATATTTTCCTTTCTTTTTGGCAATATCTTTGTGTATGGTGCACTTGAATTGAAGTTATCAAAAGAACCAAGGTGAGAAAAATTGAGCATGCATTACATGGGAAAAGAGGTAGGGAGGTGGAGTAAAAGATACCCTAAAGCATTGGAACTTCAAGTTGAAACCAGATGTAAGAAGAATTTAATTTATATTAATCCCTGATTTGCAGAATTATATTAAGATTTTCAAAGTCAGTTTGAACTGTCTTAAACTGGGCTTCATCTATAGTAAATAAAAACATAAAAAAATACCAATATTTTTTCCCAAAAGAACAAGGTAGTCAGAATTGCACGTGAACATCTCGTGATTGACACCCTCATTGAAATATGGATCATCTATTCCAAAATTTGAATCCAGTAGCATGACATTATAAGGTTTTACTCGTTTGTCTCTTAAATATTGCTCTATTTTATTTTTTATCTACTATTTATGATATGACTTAAAAACTTAACATAAAAAAAGTTATGCATTAAAATAAATTCAACAAGATTTAATGTGACTAAATTATTTCCTTATAGATTATACATAATAGTTTTTCATGGTTTAAGTTTTTAAAATTTAACATAAAAATATGCAATGAGACAATTTTTTAAGGGCGGCGGGAGTATTAACCTTTATGTACTTGTTCTTCTTGTTCCTTTAAAATGAAGCATACTTTTTCTATAATTAATGCGTTCCATAATATTCTCCCACTAATAACAATGCTAATTATTATAATTAAGATATGAAAATCTCGATTTACGTACAGTAGTTTGCAGGATTTAACTTTTTTTTTTTTAACAAAATTTCTTATATTTATGAATATTTATCAAAATTACAGTTGTCATATTATTGACATCTGGATTTTGACGGCCATTTGGTTTGATTAAAATCATGCATGCTATAAGAATTAGGCTAAATTGCTTAAGGCTTCTTTGTTTTGTTTAACCTCAAATAAATAAATAAATAAAATACTTTAATAAATAAAAAGAAATAATAACAATTTGACACAAAGTTTCATATGTGGTTAACCACACCGTGTGATCAAGGTTATTTGGCCAGGGGTTACTCGATCAAGTCTTACTTGGATAAGGGTTACTCGATTGGTCAGAGGTTACTCATCTGTCGATCAGTGGTTACTCAGTTAGTCAGGGTTTACACGGTTAGTAAATTCGATTGGTGTTCATCGACTAATTTGTTAGGCACATGAATAATAAGCTATCCTATCCGTAAAAAAAAAAGGCCTTGTTTAGTTCAACTTTTTTTTTTTACGTATTTCAGAAAAAATCAGTTCAGATCAGATCATCGTTTTATGTGCAGTTTTTTATTGCTAAATATCTTTAAATTCGTAATGGAAAAAAAATATGAAAATTACAAATTAATAAAATACACATTATTACGAATCTAACAAGACCCCTCTTGATATATTTTTTCTTTATAGATTATCGTACACTTAAGATTAAAGTTTGGTCAAATCAGACAATCAGATCAGATCAAATTAGATCAGACTAGACCACATCAGATAAGTTCAGATAAATAAATATAAGGTGAACTAAACACGGCCTAAGCTATCCTTTATTACAGACTCTTGCTGTTTTTTCTCAAAAAAAAAAAAAAAAAAAAAGACTCTTGCTATTTTATAATAAGGTGAAGTACTTTTTCATTTTTTTTAAAAAAAAAAACCCCCTACTCCGATCCGTAATCGAACATCTACAAGACTGCAAGTTTACGCTTCCACCATATTACCACATTGGGATGTACTCAAAAAGTTGCTAGTTTTCTATATTAGCTATTGATCATGTGTGTAGCTATCATTATACCATCATTTGAAATAGTAATACTTCCTATGTTCTCCTAATATAGTAATATGGAGGAAGACACATATTTTAAGGCGTGGAGAGAGATAGCGAGAAATAAAAGTGGAAAAAGATGCGATGAAAAAGAAAAATAAAGTTAAAAATTCATTAATAATAAAATAAGTTAGGAATGAACATATTTACAAACAAAAAAAAAAGAAACATTTTTCAAAAAAGAAAAATAAAAAATAAAAAAATTGATGCAATATTTATGAAACTTCAAAAGATGGTACTCATTGTTACAATATAAACAAAACGGAGAAAGCTAAGTAAATAGAAAGTAGAATGATAAAACTATTACATAAGTTTGTTGTTTATGCTCCTATGTCCCTTAAAAATGGTCTCATTACAAATTTTTGGATCAAAATAAACTTTAAAATGTCTCCCCACAAAATTCTCAATAATCCATAAGAAATAATAAGAGTATTTGAGTTTTTGTTAGATTCCTTTCAATGTCTACTTTTACATTATCAAAATTATATTGTTTTCATGATTAGCTTATAGAATTAGATATTTACATTTTAATACGTGTTTTGAGTAGTGTGAAAAGTCAGATGGTGCAATTTTACAGAAATGGGAAAGGGATGTATATATTCATAGTTCATACCATATAATCATATCCTCATTTTAATTTCTTTTTTTAATAAGATTGAAAAATACATAAAAATTAGGGATAGTCTTCTATCAAGATTATAGTACTCCCTTCATCTCTAAATGTTCTTTTAATTATGAACTTTTGATGGTGATTCTCTTACAAAAAAAGTCAACATTAAAAGATAGTGGGAGAATATAAAATAAGAAAATTTACTATGTATGTAAAAATTTAATTTGTCTTAACATGCATGTTAGACCTCAATTGCCCTAAGATGCCACATAGTTTGTTGCTCAATTGTTTCCCAATATATATGGAGTATTTAGCATCAACATCCTCAAAATGAACTTAGTATTAGCTTTATCTTATCCTCATATATGATATAGGGACTTGGGATGGATCAACTTACAATTGAAATGAAAAATAATACTTGTATAATGAAATTCAACCTTTTCTTAAAATAATAATAATAATAATAATAATAATAATAATAAATAAATAAATAAATAAATAAATAAATAAATAAATAAATAAATAATTAAAAATGAAAAATGAAAAATTCAAC